ATAAGAAAATATTGATTTTTTGTTAATTGTAAAATTGGCTGTCTAAATAAAACCTTATTGTTTTTAAAAGCTTTTTATTTGGTTAACATGAGATTTCTGTATAAAAAATTAAGTAATGTGCCCTAATGGTATCTTGTCTCCTTTCTGTTTTGAAAAGTTTGACTCGAGCCTCGCCTCTTCAGGAAATGGCTCATTTTTGTCTCTTTCCCTTCCTCGCAGCATGGAGGAATGTGAGGCTCTTTGCACAAGACTGGCCATAATGGTCAACGGCAGCTTCAAATGTCTTGGTTCTCCTCAGCACATCAAAAATAGGTGCGTTGAAGTTCTCCTTTTGCTTAAATCTTCACTATGAAATCAATAGCACGATGCAGGGTTATGACTGGAGATGCCTTAGAGGCAAGTATGTTCCGATTACCTGCTGGCATAAAACAGGAGATGAAGGCTCTGAGGGGATAAAATACTGTGGCTAGTTAGTCAAAGACACAGCAACTCCCAAACACAGAGTCTAGCGGTCTCACTGTAAGGGAGACATTTTGTTTTTCTCTTCCCAGAAGGACATTGCTCCCTCATTGTAGTGACATTGGTAGGGGTGAGAATAAGATTGCAGAGTCAAGATGACCACAGGACACAAAATGTCCTCTTTACACACAAAATGCCTTGTGAAAAGGCTGTACTGTGATGTCCCTCATCTGCAGTGAATCAAAGTCTGAAAAAGACCATCAATGTATAAGGGTTAGAGAGGGTTGTTATGGTTGCTTTCCATTTGGATTATGAAAGACTAAAGACTTCTTTCCTGTGCTCACTGATCCTTTCTATTTCTTCCTGGTTAATTCCCTTCATGTATTCTCTTCATTTCCTTTTTGGAATCTTAATGATTTTGTTACCAATTTGTGAGAGCATTGCTACATCCTGGTATAACATTAAAAAAAATTAAAGATGCCTAAATACATGTTCAATTTCCTTTTAATTTGTTTAACCTGTCATTTTTACATAGAATAATTTATTCATTTATGTTGATAAATCTCTTGTTCTCATTTATTCAGTGTTTTTAAGGTTAGGATTCTCAAGCAGAGATTTGGTAAATAGTCATATGTAAATTTTAAATACTTTTAATTTATGGAGAAAAAGCTAATGCTCAGGATTGAGATGACATAGTAGGGGGTGAGTGTCCATTTTTAGAGTTAGGCACTGCTGGAACGGTCAACCTCACAGCTGTTTGCTGCTTCGGGTCAACCACTGGTCAGATGCACTTACTAGAAACTATTCTCGGTATGTACTCTGCCCATCTTTAATAGGTATCATCAAAAAAATACTATTTCATGCTCTCCAACCTTTATGAATGCCTACATAAAGTTTTATAACCCATTCCTGATTGTTGGGTGATTTATGTCTGATTTATGTTTACAAATGTTTGCTGCAAGAGCCAGTAGGATGAAGCACATGGGGATAGGTTTTCTCTAGCTGTTGCATTCTACATACTGGAAAATCTGTGCCTACTTCCGAGTTTTGGTTCCAATAATGTGATATATGGGTTGAGCATGAATTGTTAGTGGATATGAACTGTAGGACTATATTAAACGAGAAATGGCTTGTGGGTTATTCACGGAAACATCAAACTTAATAAAATTTAAAAAATAATTTGTGGCCAGGTAAGGTGGCTCACACCTGTAATTCTAGCACTTTGGGAGGATGGAGTGGGAGGATCACTTGAGGCCCAGAGTTTGAGACCAGCCTGGGCAACATAGTGAGACCTCATTCCTACAAAACACTTTTAAAAAGTTAATTTTTTAAAATTATATCCAGTTGTGGTGGGGTGCATCTGTAGTGCTAGCTACTTAGGAGGTAGGAGGATCAGTTGTGTCCAAAAGGTCAAGGCCACAGTAAACCATGATTGTGCCACTATACTCCAGCCTGCATGACAGAGCAAGACCGTGTCTGAAAAAATAAAAAGTAAAATAAAATAACATAATTTGTAAAGTGCTTATTCTCCTATAACTATAAACCTATAATAAACATATGATGATGTGTGTTTCTATAATATTGAAATAAAGAATAAACGATTGATCATGACATAGATCGTAACAATAACTAGATTTTTCATAAACTTCGGCATCCATACCTGGGAGTCAGCAACTTCAGAACCCATTTCTCTGATGTGGAGCTGCTGAGATAGATGAGAGAACTTTTAGTGGGTCTCCTTCCTCCTCCTCTCCATCCCTTTCTTTCCATGAACATGAATTTTTAGGAACATGAATGAGGAAGAGTAGGGTCTGGGTGTGGGGAAAAGTTCTGAGGAGGTAACTCAGGAGAAGGTAAGGGTTTTGGAGAGAAAATTTTGACAGAATTTGGGCAAGGATCTGAGTATCAGGATTTCCCCGTGGAGAGGCAGGAGGCTGGTGAGGAGGGTCCCTGGCTTGGGCTGGGAGACATCTGCCCAGAGGGAGAACAGAAGAAAGGAGCTACAGAAATCCCACAGAGGTGGGACCCAGAGGGCAGGGCTTGGGCCTCAGAGACCACCTCCCCCGGGGACGGGCAGGTGCAACAAGAGCCTGCTGTGAAAGCTGAGTGGAGTGAAACCAGGGGAGCACGAGGGCTTAGCCACCTTTAGCTTCTGAATTGCAGTCCTGACTTTGACCTCATGAACAGTCAGGAAGCCTCAAACTTCAGTGTAGGTCTCAGCAAATTCGCCTGTGACAGGAAGCTGAGGCTTGCACCTGCTATGGCAGTTCACTCGGACAAAGCAACCATCTTTCAGGGTGAAGGGGGGAAAGTGGAAAAGGAATGTCAGAATCAGAAAAATGAGGAGCCACAGAAATATAGAGGGAAGAATGTATGTGGCAAGTAGGGACAGATACATAAGAGGAAAAACAAAATGGAAAGTGAAGTGAAATTGCCCAAACCGAAGAACTCTCCCTACTTCACGCTCTGCCCCCGGCACAGCCCTCAGAGAAATGGGGCCTCAGATGAGAAACAGCTCTTCCACGGGACTTCAGGCCCCACCTGAGCGCCCTGAGTTCATCCCATCTTCCTGAGTCTGAGGAGAAAGACTCAAACACAAGAATCACTTCCTACCCCAATCTGCGGGTGGCACTGTCTTTCCTTCCCACCCTGTGTTGGTTCAGTCGGCCCAGTACACCTGTGCCTGACTCTGCTGTTTGTCTTCCCTCCTGCTGTGCTCATGTGAGTTCCTTTCTTGGGTTCTAAGTGAAACCTTGGTACATGCACTTCACCATCAGAGAAGGGTTTCTGCAGAGGACACCAAATCCCATTCCCATGCTCCTAACAGAGCATTAACACCCCAGCATCCTGCTTCATGCCCAGACTCACCTCATCCCTAGCCGACTGTTTTAAAATATCGTGTATTAATAGAAAAATTGAAGTGCCGTAAGGCCAACAGATCAGGAGATGACTGCCTTTGAAAATATCACATATTACAGTTTCCAAGAATAGGGGGCACACAGCGTCCCATGATGGAGCATCAGGTCAGCCAGGAGGCAGAGGGCAGCTGGAAGGAAACATGAGCAAGGGCTTTTATTGTGGTTTCTGTTGGAAGGAATGGGTGAAATAGGACAAGGAGGTCTAAGATCTGCTAGTTTGAATAACTTCAGTGGGCCGTGCAGCATAGGGGTTGTCCCTTGTTGGTAGTACCTGTCCCTGGGGTGACTGGGGAAGGGGGACTGTGGCTTAGCATGTGAGAGCCCCTTAGAGGAGGTGTTAGAGATCATGTGTGTTCTGGGTCAGCTGGTTTGTATTTGAAAAAATGAATTTATGTGCAAGTTGTTTGCTATCTTTAGGAATTGCCTAGCTCTGGGAGGGGCAGTTCTTCCAGAGTCAGCAAGTCCCCACATTTTCAAAGTATTAGAATACAGAAGATAATAGGCATGGTTAATATACCCACTCCGGGACTCACCGAGGGTAAGTGGAGCCGTAAGTGCAGGGCCAATCACATTCTCCCTGCCTGGAGGAAGCCAGACTTGCCCACTTTGCAGAGGAAGGCAGGGAGCTCTGGCTTTGCCAGGGGTTCTGAAGTCCCCCTTCTCTTCCTTGCTACAGACTTTTGTTCTTCCTGGGAATCTTTTTAATAGCTTGTTTCAGAGCTATTATCTACATAGTGAATTTCCAAACACTTTGAGGTTATAGAGCTGTATTAAAAGACAAGTTCCTTGGACACCTGATCTGTGGATAACCTAAAGCTCTGTGTTACTGGTCTGTAGCAATCATCCATGAAGAAGGGCCTCTGAGAAAAAAAAATGCAATAGTCCACTATCTAGTGTGTATGTCTATCCATTGATATCAAGTTGTTATGTTAACCGTGATGTTGCTTCTCATCTGAGTCACAATTTAAGAAAAGTCAATCAATATTAGATCGTTTGCTGGTAAAATTGAGGCTGTTTGCTTTTGACATTTAATATTTCTTTAACAAATGTTTATTGAAACCCAGCAAGGGGATGCAGAGGTAGGTCTGATGCAGTTTATGCCTGCTTTGGTGCTCACAAGTGCAGAGAGTGAACCCTGCACACACTTGGTGACATCACAAGGCCTAACAGGGCAGGCAACATAGAAAAGGTATCAACTAGAGTGTTCCGTGAAAGGGCCGTATATGCCAAGTGCTCTCCAAACCCAGGAAAAGTTGAGAAACCAAAGAAGGAGGAAGACAAATCCAGTGTTTTGGTAAAGGGTGATTTCCTGGGGCACTTATGAATGGAAGTGTGGTGTTGGGAAGCAGCAAGACAGGTAGACCTCTGCAACGTTACTCCCCAGACCCAGGGCTCTTGTATCATAGGGAAAGGACACCTACCCTAGAGAGATATTTGAAGACACCCCTCCAGAACAGGCAAGAGTGCTGCATACATCGTGGGCTATCATTTGTACAATAACATAAGGGTCGCCTTGATCTAAAGGCAGGAGCACATGTTCTTACAGGAAGGACAGGAAGTGAAGTAGGAATCAGGAGGCACTCACGAGACCAGGCTAACGAGAAGTTAGTGTGGCAGATTAGCATCTATGATGAGGTCACTTTTGTCTCCACATGGAGCCCTGAGGAGGAGGATGCCTTTTTTAGTTTGAAAAAATAGGGAAATAATCTTAGACCTGGAGGTACAGGTAAAATTTGGTTAAAAGGGGATTTAATTCTAGATTGTATTTAGTAATAAAAACATCACTACAGAATCAGAATTTGAGAGCAAGTAAGAGGGACAGACATACCAGTCAAAGCAAAGTTTACATTTCAACATGAAAAGTAAAGGAAATCCTCAGGCTAAGTAAAAGCAGCATGACTATTTTAAATGTTCCTTGAGCAACCTTCGGCTTTG